AAAGTTCCTGAGGAAAAGGAGCAGCCCCGGGCTGGGAACCGCCCGGCTCCGGGCAGCCCCCCGGGGCGGCACTGGGGGGGTCTGGAGGGCAGATGGGGCGATCCCACGGGTGCCCTTGTCCTGGGAGGACCCGGCGCTGCGGAGCTGGGTGTCCGGGCAGCCCCCCGGGGGGGCACTGGGGGGGTCTGGAGGGCAGATGGGGCGATCCCACGGGTGCCCTTGTCCTGGGAGGACCCGGCGCTGCGGAGCTGGGTGTTCGTGCCGCCCTCTCCTCGCACAAGGTTTTGGGTAACCCGAGGTGTTTGGCCCCGAACACACCAGGCTTCAGGCGCGTTTGAACCCTGCAGGGCCCCTGGTCTCTGGAAATAAGCACAATTCGAGACGGGCACCTGAAAACGAGGTGCAGGGAGTTAGCAGGCACTTCATGAGTCAGTGTGTAATAAAGGCCAAAAATACCCTTTAATGTTTCTATGTGCATGCTATTCTCTCCAAGGTTTTCAATCATGAGGAGTCTTTTGTATAATATATACAAACTGCCAAAGGAGCAGTTATTAGTTGCACTCTTAAATGCTAATGAGTGAGCCACAGACTCTAGAATAATTTATTTCCAGTCTGACATGTAAACACACTTGGAGAGTGTGGACAAAAGGTGTGTATGGGGTGGTTTTTTGGTAAGCTTTACAGTATGTTTTATGATTTCTCTGGACTGGAGCCTCTTGTAAGTTGTTGGAGGTGAGTCAGCTTGGATAGTGTCTCTTTTTTTAGCAGAGCTACGTTATACCAGGATCTGAAAACACATCAGTAAACAGTTGATGAGTTTTGGAGTTGCTTTAGTGGCTGCATGTAGAGCTGCAGAGGCAAAATCTACAAAAAGTTGGACATTTTGAGATGTGGAGCCAACCTCTTCTGTTTGGGTGTTGGTGCTCGCTAAGCGGGTGTTGCTTGATTCCTGTTCAAATTAAAACAGGATATTCACTCCTTTTTATTGTATTTGGCTGCACGGATGACATGAACCAGTTATTTTTTCAGGGTGAGGAACTAAGGAATTTTTCAGGATTGCAATCAGACATGTTTTTTTTACGCTTCTATGATCTTGCAAGGACTGGTTTAATAATTTTGGAATTTAAGGTGGAGAGAAGACTTTAAAGCAGTGGAAAAGTATAACCGAATACAAATTAAATGTATTTATCAAATGTATGACAACTTAAATACCCCAAAAACTTTGCAGCTTTTTCATTTCAGGTTTTTTTACTCTTCTTTCCCTACCATAAGCTATGCATTTGTTTAGCCTGATGTTACTTTCACCTCATACTGAAAAAGCAGAGCATGTGCTGTGAATTCTGATTCACTTCGTAAATAAAACTCCTTTTCCATACTGTGATTGTCAAGGGCTGTGACAGGAGAACAAATCAACAGATTTTATATCTCTACTAATGTTTCTGACTAAACCACAAGAAGAATAAGCTAAGTGTTTGGGGGTTGTGTTTTTTGGTGTTTGTTTTTTTCTTGCTGCTGGAAAAGGGGCTACAAATCCTGCATTCTCCCTGGCTGTTAAGGATTTCCAGGCCTTGCTCGGATCAGTCTCATTTCCAGTCCTTGCTGCCACCATTTGGTAGTTAGACCCTTTGGCAGCAGATTGCACATGAGCTTTTAAATTGATCTAAAAACCAAAGCCATCCTGCAGATGTGTTGGTGAGGCTGGATGCTCAGGCACTGCTGC